ATTATTATTATTATTATTATTATTATTATTATTATTATTATTATTATACTGTCTGGTGGTGGTGACAGATAACAATTTGTTAAAATATGTTTATAACAACAGGATTTGAGGTATAGAGCAGAAGCAAAAATTAAATGAAAATTCACACAATTGACATAAAATAAAAACTGTAAAAAAATCAATTTAAAGGTAGACATGGTATAAAATCTAAACTGATATTGATTCCTTTTGACAAGATGTTGCAGGGAATTTGTTAGTCGTTATTAAAATAATTTATTTAATTATGCTTGTGCTGCTGCAAGAACTTAAACTTGTATTTGCGTTTTTATTTTTAAGATGCATGCACATTATAAAATAAATGTTTAGTGAAATTGTGTTCATGTCTTGTTTGCATACACACTCAGTGTTGGGTCAACAATGCATAAAGACACTCACAAATATATTCTTTGAACGACTGCTGTCTTACATTTCACCATAAATATTTCTTGTTATTAAAAATGTATAAACTGCTACATTTTTTTCTGTTGAAACAATAACAATGTTAATGTTGATGCTGGAAATTAAATTCAGTACATACAATGTTTGAAATTATTAAGTTTATTGTCCTTTTGGTAGAACATAAAATTATTAAAATTATTTACTGATACAAAACAAAATATTTTACTATTTTCACATTTACCATCATAACAATTAAATAGTTATCATACTTAATATTGGCCAAACAAACCTGAAAGTGTTGAAAACCACAATCCAATTAAAAAGAAAAATATGTGGATTTTTATTTTAACATAATCCCTTTTTTCTTTTTTCTTTCGCTGCTTTTATAAAACAAAATAAAAAAATTAAGTGAGAAATATAATATTTTAATAAAAATCAAAATAAATTAATAAAATTTATTTTGTATAATTATACTATTGTACTTTGTTGAATTAATTGCTTAAAGCATGAAGTTACATCTTTATGGATTTTTAATGTAAAAAATCTGATTGAATTTAACAAACAACTTTTGTCCAGATTAAATTATTAGAGCTGTAAAACTGGACAAAGTTTTAAGAGACAAAACACTCGCGCTCACCTCGGACGAGGATTCTCCGGCAGTAGTCTGGGTCCCCCGCGCTCCCCCTGTTCTTCTCGCAGGTCTCGATTGTCCCAGAAGAGGAAAAGGAGTCCTGCTGCTCCTTAAGGAAGCTTTTCGACAGGCTGCCCTGCGAGTCTTTGCCGTCCTTCCCCTCCTTTAGTCCGTTCTTCAGCACCATCGCTTCTGTTTCTTGGTTGTACCTGACCTCCATGCTCAGTTTATCCTCTCAGATCTGCGGCTCTGCCGCCTCTGTTTTCCTTTTGTCAGATGAAAGAAAAGGAGATTACAGAGAATGTGGTTCTGGGGATTGTCAGCGCAGTGTAAGTTTTAGTTTCAAAACAGCAGCTTTCAACAAACCAGAGCCAGCTACCTAATGTTTGCTAAAATACTTTGTCACCCGACCACGGAGCCTTATTGTCACTGAACAAACTCCCTTGCCCAATGATCATGGACTTCTCAGCGAAACTCAGCAGTAATTCAATGCCCCCCTTTCCTCGTTACATAGACATCGTGCTGATAGACGATCTCCAAATAATCATAGCCATGGATGCGCACTCGCTGTTTCAACTGATTACGGTAATTTTGCTGCCTCCACATTTGCGTAACCTCATGAATAAACTAAATTGTTTGTGGAAATAGATCAGGTCTTGATAGAGGGGTTTGCTCGTCCCGTCCCCCTCAGTTTGCCTGCTCTCAGCCCATGGAATCAAGACAAATGATTGGTCTTGTCTTGCAACCAAGCCTTCCTGCACGCACACAGTCACAGAGGTATGTCTTCCAGCGCCGAAAAAAGTTCTCAGGTGTTTCATTCCTCCATCTGCAGAACACAGGCAGACATTTCCCCCCTGACTTTAAGCAGCGCACCTGATTGTCGCAGCATGTCAGCGAACTTTGATCCTGTTTTTCCTTTTGGCAATCAGCAGAACTCTGCAATGTGCAGATCTCACCGCTAAGCTATTGGAGGAAGTGGAAGAGAGCCAGAGGAGGAGAGAGAGCGAGGAAGAGGGAGAGAGCTAAGTGAAAGGGATAACGAACAAATCCTCATCGAGCAAAATTTATGAAAGCAACGACAACCCAGCTTGTTTCAGCAAAGCAGTAATGCCGGCATCTTCCATCGCTGGAATTCTGTTAAAGTTTCCTCTTTCCCTCCATCTTCTTACGGTCAGTCAGGAAGCAATGTGGCGAAGTCCTGGCTGTTAACGTCACCACTTCACTATTTTAAGAATTGCACCCCAGAAGCTATGCTCAGCTCTCATAATCTTAACCTGCATATCCTAAAAAGACACACACAAAAAAAGGTGGGGGGGTACAAAACTTGTCATTAGTGCTAAGGCTGTCTACACTCCCTAGCTCACACGCATTCCCCTGGAATGGCCCCTGCCTCTCTCCACCACTCACCCTCCAGCCCACTAAACCACCCACCCAACCACCAACTCTTAGCTATTTTCATTGTCAGTGCAACAATATCTCTGAACACAGCAGTGGCCAGTAATCCAATAAGACCATTGATTAGGCCACAATGATTCAATTCAAACTGGTGGCCTAGTGCAAGGAACAGTCTCTGGCCCTTCTTGTCACCTTAGCTGGCCAGAAGCCCTCTTCAAGCTGCACCCCTCCTTGAGTGCCATTCATGCCTTTATGGGAAACAGAGAGGAAAAGGAGTGAAAGATGGCAATTATCTAATTGGACTATTAACAAACAAATCTGCAGTGTGGCTGCCCGGCAGCAGTCTCGAGGTGGGTTTAAGGGCTGCATGTTGGACTAACTTTATTCACTCTGTGTTTGGGGGGGTGGGGGGGCTGCTGTGTGGAGTGGGACAGCATCCATTGTTTGAAGAAGGTAAAAAGGAGGCTAAAAATGGAGCGACTAAAGAGAACCCAGGCATTGCAAGCTGTGGTGCAGGGCTCCAGCCTGGGAAATAGATCGAGGTTTTAGCATCTTTGCCTCTCAGAGGCGTACAATGATTAAAAGGAGAAAAGAAACACAAAACTGCATGTTTTTAGTGCATGCAAGAAATGTGTTTTACAATGTAACACTAACTTATAAAATATTGTTTTTAGTACTATCAATACATGGAAAATAAATCATATTGCAACTAAAGCGCACTTTCAGAGACCTAAGAATACTGTAGATAATAATCCATCAGTGACATCTGAATCTTTACTGCTCAGTGTTTATGTCTGGGAAGGCACATTCATGCTTAAAAGCAGTGCACATCAACTGATAAACCCCATGAGATGATGAATTATTGAGCTACGACATCTGCTGTCAATAACACATAATAAAACTATACCTTTTACAGTATTACTTTACATATGTGCATTAGAAGATTATATAACCATTTAAATTTTTTTAAAATTATTGTCATTATTTGTAAATGCTAACATCACTAAAACATATGATTAGTTAAACTTCTGCTAACAGCAGCAACTGATAAAGGGCTTCAGATCATCACCAAAATAAAAGGAGAAGCCAATATGGTGAACAGTCTTCAGGGAGATGTGCAGTGAGTGTTCGCCTGTTGTCATCAGACAGGATGCAGCCGTCTCATCGTGTCAAGCTGCTGCACCTGGTTAGAGTGACCTTGTTCATTGTGTTTATATAAAATAGTGAGACAGTGTTTTTTTTGTCAGGTTGATTGAATATAATACAAGTTTTGTTTCTGCAAGCAGTGAGTGCTAAAACAGAATGATAATAAGATAGGTATTCAAATCTCAAGCAGATAATCACAAACCTCAGTATGGCTGAAAAACAAAAATCCTTTATGAATTTTCTGTGCTCACACCACTTCAGATATGTTTTAACTGAAGTTTTGTGCTGTGTTTGCACCCCCAATCACTTTTCAAAGAACTTTTAAACTACGTTTTTAGTGGATCTGTGTGGACAGGAAGTACAAAACTTATAATAAAGCTGTTTATTTTCCTACATGCCGACCATCAGTTTTGGCCCCAGAAACCAAAACACCACATTAAAGTCATTAGTCAAACTAAACTAAAGTGAACTAAACTAAACTACACTAAATTAAACTAAACAAAACAAGCTGAACTTGTTTTAGGAAAATCTTGATCAAAATAAGTATGTTTTTCTTTGTATATTTGAATGTTGGTAATGTATATGTTCTCGCCACCTAGTGTCACAACATGCTTATTTCAGCATTTTTGTTAAAATGTTTTTTTCCGGCTGCCCCCTTCTTCAGGTAATGTCTTTCCTGACACAACCACAAACCTCCAAGCAACGACAGCTCTCTGTGTAGAGCAGAGAGCTGACATCTAGGGCCCCTGGAGGAACAGTTGGAGGGGGTTGAGGCTCTTGCTCAAAGGCCCAGAGTGGGGCAAACAAGGGTGGAACATGTGGGTGTTTCACCTTTCTTACCCACATTTTGATGTAGTTCGTATGGAGAGTCGAACTGGAGACGTTCTGATCACAGGCTCAGCTTCTCTCTCTTTCGCTCTATCTCTCTCTCTCTCTCTCTCTCTCTTTCTCTCTCTCTCTCTCTCTCTCTCTCTCTCTATATATATATATAT